GTGACTGCCCAGCCGTCTCAATGGATTCTGGCTGCGTTATCCTCAATTTCAAACTCCAGGGAGACTTCAGCAATACTCCAGCACAGAGAGTCGTCCCCCCAGGACAGCCTCAGGACCAGCCTTTCCCTCTCACCTTCTCTACTTTCTTACAGATCAGCACAGGGCAGAGATGTCCTGCCAAGAAGCGGCATCTGTGGAGGTCTTACCCAGAATGCTGTGCAGCAGGACACAGCCTGATCTTGGGAAGATGCAAGATTCAGGGTTGCTTCTACACAGAATCTAATCATGGCAACTCCATAAACAAGAGCTCTGTGCTCTCTGACTGCGCCTTGATGACTCCTGTCACCTAGGGCTAGGATAGCCTGTACTCTTCTCCCATGCAGAACACTCGGTTTTTGCTTACTCTTCCACAGAAATCTGTGCCGGATCCTGCACGGGGCCCTGGGGTGTAGCGGTAATTGAAATCGGCACTGCCCCTTCAGGCACTGGCTTTGTATTTGGCGTAACAGGGAGAACGCATCATGTAGACACAGAATGGCGAAGCACCTGGCCCTCTGATGCCAGAAGATCAGGGACGTTCACTAAGGAGTGAGGCCTGAAGGTTCATGTTCAGCACTCAGGAGGTGAACGGCAGGCAGGAAAGGCAGAGGCAGGAGGGACAGGGCTTTGGGTACCACAAGAGTCTGCAGCAAAGGCTCTGAGGCTCGGGAGCCTGGAGAGACTAGAGGAGGAAGAGGAGAAACAGAACCGTCCGAGATCTTGCTCTGCCAGTGTGTGTGTGTGTGTGTGTGTGTGTGTGAGGGGGTATATACACCACCTCACTGACCCTGCCTGTGAGACCTGTGCAGCCTGAAACTCAGAGCGACCAACAAGATGATTCTTTCCTCTTTGTATTTTCTCTGGAAGACAACGTGAACCACATACTAAAGTAACCAAACCAGTTCCCGAACCCTCTGGCCGGCCTCCGAGCACCCAGCACCCAGCACAGCCTTTGAGTTGTTTCCTTCTCCCTTCCTTCCCTCTCTCCCCTTCTTGGGAAAGCAGCAAAGAAACTACTCAAAGCAAACAACCTAAAATGCATTGTCCAGTACGAGTTTTGTTTGTGTGTGTGTGTGATCTGAATATATTGGATGAAAATTTTCTTCAACAATAAGAAAAAACAAAACAAACTGCCCCCATGACCCCCCTTAGTGAGCGATTCTGCTCCCTGAACGCCATCGAAGGAAGCCCCGGACAATAGCTGGGGCTCCTCAGCACGCTTGTTCACGTAGCCCACCAGCAGCCCTGACTGGCTAGCCCACCCTGACCAGCGCCATGTTTCTGCTCTGGATAAAGCCATTTTGCTTCTCTTATAAAAAGAAACAAAACAAAACCGAAAGACAGAGAGAGAAAGAAAAGGGACAATGGCCACATGAGTGAGCAACTATGTTACAAGCACAGGGCCACGAGGGTCTGAATTCCCAGTTTTCAAATACTGTGTTCCTAAATTTCGGCCAAAAATAGAGTACTGTTAAAACGGTGTATACTTTTATGGTGTACCACGTGCTTTGACCCATTGAGGAATGGTTAAATCAAGCCTCACCTCACACATTATTTTATGGTGAGCCTTCACAATCTACTCTTTTAACAATTTTCAAGTATTGTTATTTGGCTGCCAAGATGGCTCAGCAGGCGACGGAGCTTGCTGCCAAGCCGGACAGCCTGAGTTCCACCCCTAGGACCCACAGAGTGGATGGGGAGGACTCACTCCTATAAGGTGTCCTCTGATCTCCACACAACCAGTGGACACAGACACACTCACACAAAATAAGATACCTCAAGTAACGATGTTAGCTCTCTGCTATATCTTACAAAATTTCCACATAAACTATGAATTACCTTTACAACCAGAAAAGGGGGAGGGACAGGGGTAAATCAGCCATAAGAAGAAAAAGAAACTCACTTAGCAAAAAGTGTAAAGTGTTGCTGTATATAGCAACCCTGGTCAAACCATACATGCGCTAGGTGCAATTCAGGCTCCTAATTACAACTCTAGTGTACTGGGGACAGAGCCGCGGGAAGGAAAGCTAGAGCGGTTACATCATCCTAGATGCCCAGTATGAGAGACTGTAGTGGGTTAAGGCTCCCTGGAAGGCACTACAGGGAGCACAGCCCTCACTTTATGAGGAAAAAGGCCCTGAAAAGTTAACTGAGGTGCCTGAACCCTGGTTTCTGGCCTCCTATGTTCTGACAGCTAATATGTCGTCGTTTTGCTCCCTAGTTCCGTTTATGAGAACATAACTAAGGAGCAGACACCCCTCCACATCACGCCGGTAACCCTTGGAGGAAAGGCTCACTCCTGCCTCACAGAACCTGCAGAATGGCTCCTATGTTAGCTGTTTCTCCCGCCTGGAAGGTTTTCTTCTCTGGTGTGGCTAGGGCTGGCTCTCTCCCATCTACCAATCACAGCTTGATTCAGCCCACAGGTTTATCCACACCAAAGAACCTGACCCGGTGGTCAGTCTCTATGACACCACCTACTTATGCATGGATTTAATCCTGGCGACTTCTTATCCAAAACGACCTGCAGTTCATCACGTCCGTACACTCCCTCCCCGTCTTGTGATGGAAATCCACGAGGGCAAACTCACATCTGTTTTATTTACTAAACGCCTTGTGCCTGAAATAGCACCAAGTGGCTAATCCAAACATACATCTGGTTCAGTAAGTGGGCACACACTGTATGATTATTCCCCTCCACAATCCGTGAGGGAAAACCCAGGGACATTACACATTACCAGCAACCTTCAAATGCAAGCACACAAACCTGAATGTAATTAACAGCATGAAGAGCTGAATGGGTCAAGTCTGAACTGGCTTTTCATAGCAGTTAGGGAAACTCTTTCCCATATCACTATATAATTCCCTCCAATCTCTTTCTCTTTTAAAGTTCTGCTGTTTAACGTAAAAAAAAAAAAAAAAAAAAAATTAGTTATGTGTGTGCGTGTGTGTAGGTGCCTGTTGAGGCCAAAGGCACTGTGTTCCCTGGACCTGGTGTGCAGGCAGGTGTGAGTCACCAGGTGTGGGTACTAGGAACTGAACTCAGGCTTTCCCTTGATAGGAGCAACAAAAGCTCTTAACTGCTAAGGCATCTCCTGTAAATACAATAAACATAAACATAACACAGATGGAGACCTGAGGTCAACCACTGGGCCCCACACAACACATGCGACAACACACGGGCCAATGGTGAATATCCCCCCCCCCACACATGCACATGCACGTGCACACATGCGCACACACACACACACTCTTTCCCCCTAAAATAAGCGAACAGGAAAAGACATCCACCTAATAGCCTAATAACATATGTAAAACACTGAACTCCCCAGTAGTAATTACTACTATACTTGTTGATAATAATTGATCACCTAGTTGATAAATACTACTATACTTATTGATATACTTTATCACTCAGTTGATAAAAACTAGTATACTTGGGGGCATCTTTCTGGCCTTTTTCTCCCCCATGAAACATTTTCTATAATTTTGCTACATACACTGAAATTCAGCAGTCATCACTGCGATCAGGAGAGGCATAGCTGATTTTCTCCAAACACCAGCAGGAAATCAGAGCTAATGAGAGTAAAGCACAAACGTATGAAATGAACCACACAGGACTCTGTGATGTAAATCTCTAACTCCAGTACCCACAAGGCTGAGGCAGAAGGATCGCAAGTTCAAAACCAGCCTGATCACCCAGTGAACCCAAGAAAAACCTAAGCTCCGTTCTGTGACATGGTAAACAAGGAGATAAATAACAACACGACTCCATGAAGGAGCACAATGATGTGAGTGCATGTAATGGCAGTAACCATGAGAACCGTAAACATAAAACACTTCAGGGAGTCGAGATGTGGTCTCTGTGCCCTGAGTGCTCAGCATGTCGGTAAGAGAATGCGTGTGACCTTTTCCAGTCTCTGACTCGGCACTGGAAATGAAGGTAATGCTAAGATGTAACAATAATGCCTTCCAGCTAGGAGTGCAGAGCCCCAAGAAGGACTCACTTGGCCCAAACTAAGAGTGTAAGTGAAGGGCCTCACTAATTGCCTCACTGAGAAACAAGGTGGCAGGTTGAGGTCTGATGACTCAAACAGTCCCATTCAGAGCCGGGAGGACGGCCGAGAGGGACAGCTTAGTGGGCCTGCAGACTCCAAACTTCACAAGCCACAGGCTTTCCCTCAGGATGGAAATCCCAGTAGATGTTTGCTGTGGTTGAGACATGCACTGCGCTCGCTCGTTAGTTTTTTGTCAGCTTGACACAAGCGGCAGCCATGGGGGGGCGGGGACCTCAAGTGAGAAGACATCTCAATCAGACTGGCAGATCCATCCATCGGCAAGTCTGTAGGGAGCTTTCCTGATTAGTGGGTGTGGAGGGCAGCTCACTGTGGCAGTGCCCCGCCCCCCAGGGCAGTTGGCCCTGGGCTATATAAGAAAGCAGGGTGAGCAAACCACGGTGAGCAAGCCGCTCAACAGCATTCCCCCATGGGCTGGGCTTTAGTTCTTAGATTTCCAGCTCTTGCCTGAGTAACGGGAGTGTGACCCGAGAGCTGTAAGATGAAATAGACTCTTGTCTTCTCGTCATGTTCTTTTTGGTCATGGAATTTTATCACAGCAACAGAAAGCAAATTAGAACAGGGTTCTCATGCATTCCGGGCTGCCTTGATGTCCCCATGTGGCTGAGGGCAACCTTGAACTCCTCATCTTCCTGCATACATACACCTCTCAAGGGCTGGGATTTACAGGCACCCGGCTCCCCATACTTTTTTCTCCATTGTTCAGATCTTTGCTAGACTAACAGCAACAGTCAAGCGAAGCATGATCACCTGTTAATGCACTCCTTTATGCAGGCTACGGGAGAGGAGCTTGGGCTTCAGGCAGGTCCTGTGCCAGCTTGAATACATGGTCCTAGGAGGCTAGCAGGCTAGCCTAGATGGAAGGAAACCCTGGAATTAACTTACCTGTCATATTAGCACTGGAGGTCAGCAGGGGCACAGAGTCATTCCCCCTTGAAGAGCCTATAGAAATAAAGAGATGCATTAGTAAAGCGCCCCAGGATTTAACTTGGAACACAGCATGAGCTTCTGCCCCTCACTGAGGTCTGGGGCTCCAAGGGGTGTGCACACTGAAGCCAACAGAGAAGTCAGAGAAATGGCACACCATGGGAAGTCAGCACGGCCAGGGCCCCCAGGAAGAATGCACAATGTATCCCTTGCAGATGCCTGGTTTACAGATGCCACCAGGTTGACAAGCAGCCAGAGCAGCCCGTTGTGCACGCTCATGTCAGGCTGTGTCTACTTCTTGAGCTGCAGCGGGGAGAGGAGAGAGTCTACCATTTGAGGAAGGCACTGTGAGCTTGAAGAAAACGAGAGGCCCACTTGCTTCATGTGTATCCATCATGCATATACTCCATGTCTAGCGGACACTGTGAGTCTTTAAGCCTGGAGCCTGTGTGCAGATGAGGGGGAGGGAAACTCACAGCTGCAGATGAGCAAGGACTGAGCAGGGCAGGGGTATGGGGGAAGGGAGGCAATGCCACAGGAAGTTCTGCTTGTACCGCTGTCGCTATGAAACACCCTGGACTTTGAGGCTGCATGGTTAGGTTTTTCACATGGGACACACGGGAAGCTTCCGAAACAAACACCTGCACAGTGCTCACTGTCTACCACACACTCTGGTGACAACAGCTTTGTCAGGGCGCCTGCGGAGCTGACTGACAGACGCATGTCCACCGTGTTCTGGGTGATATGGACCATCCTGGAAAGGCTCTTTGTTTGGGGATGCTTCCTGGTCTTCTTACCACCAGCACCCCTAGTTTTACTCATTAGGTCTCCCATTGTTTTGTGAAAATCTCAGTAGGGACTTCTTTCAAGCTAGTACAATTAAGGGGGGATGGGGCAGGGGGATCCTGTGCTCCAGGTAAGCAATTTTTGGTGATGTTTTTGGAATCCGTATAAAGACTACAATCCACAAGGGATGGGAGCTCAGGTAATAATACGATTATTGTTCCTGTCCCGGAGACCAGCCCTAGTGGGGTCAGGCTGATCCCTGCTCCATGCAACTCCCAGTGTAAAGAGAGACAAAGGTGTTATTTATGTTTCTGTCATAACATTTCCAACACACTCCCTCACTCCACACAGAAATCCAAAACAAACCCTTAGAACACAAAGAAAAGCCAGCAACAACAACTTTGAAATATTTACCAACTGTTAAATCTATTTCTCATGCAATTACCTTCCTCTGGATGGGGCTATTATCCTGTATGAGATGGAACTCAGATAGGTCCAGATCAACTCAGATGTGTGTGGCAGGTCTACAATACTGGGGTGGTGGGGGTAGGCTCCCCTCACCTCATCGTCCTGGACACTCTATGGCTGGAGCACTGTTCTGCAGTGACAGGGACTGAGGCCCAGAGAAAGCTCTACTCAGCTGCTTAGTGAGTCTGGACATGGATGGGGCTGATTTTAATCCCAAACCTGCATAGATCTGTCTCTCCTCTGCACATCTTCCCGATGTTACCAGCTGCTCCTTCCTCAACCAAGCCATCCTTTGGGTCCTCCCTCTTCTTGCTTCACGGTCCAATCTATTAGCCAGTGATCTGTCCCACTGTCCAAGACACTGGGCTCATCTCTGTCACAGAGATCAACCTCTGTACACAGACTGCTGCAGAAGCATCTGTCACTTTCACTCCTGAGGCAGCTTTCACGGCAGCGAAGTGTTTGGATGTTTGAACAGACATGTCCAAGTTTCTTAGTTGTAAGTTAATATGTTACTTCATTCCCCTATGGTTGTTAAAAGTGCACTTGTCACTTGCCATCCGAAAAATGCTAACAGCTTCCCATCCTGGTCCTGAGTACTGGGATTACAGGTGTATGCCACCACACCCAGCAGCAGCAGCATCACGATAAATTACTATCACTAGTATTTTGTTTTTTTCCTACAGGGTGCTCTATATAGCCCTGGCTCTCCTGGTACTCACTATGTAGACCAAGCTGGCCTGGAACTCACAGAGCTCAACATGCTTTTGTCTCTGAGAGCTGGGATTAAAGGTGTGTGCCATCGTGCCAGGAAGAATACTCTTTGAAAACCAGAAACTCCGTGACATTATTTTCTGTCTTCCACAGTATTCAGGACAGCACTGTGGAGTGCTAACTGACATCAGCTCATGTGACTGCATGATGAACGGGCTGAATCTGGGCTCTGATCTGAAGTCAGACATGTATTACTTGTTTTAATGGAGGTAGGGTAGCTTACCTGCAAGTCTCAGATTTCTCAGCTATACAATGGAGATGGTATGTGAAGAAAATGTGCCTAGCAAATATTAGCCATGTTTCAGTACAACTGCTAAACACCACCATGTATTGTAATGATGCTTACACTAATTACATGCTGCATACAAAGACTTCTAAGACAGTTAACTGCTTTGTTTTTGGTTTGTTTTATAGTTTTTTTTTTTTGCGATATGCTCTCCCTTTGTAGCCTGTGCTGGTCTTAACCGAAACTGTCCTGCTTAGCTCATTCCTTTTAAGTGCAGGGGTGACCAGGGGGCCTGGTCCTGCTGATTGCTCACTCACGTAAGAAAACCTTTCGGTGAAGGTGACAGTCTATAACTAAACTCATTGGTCTACCTGTTCATGACACAGGGCATCAGAGCATTTCAAGTCACCTCTCTAGTGAGACATTCATAAACAAAACAGAGTGAGAAAGTTGAACAACAAAAATTCGTTATGAGAGCAAAAGCTACAAAAGGGCTTTCCTGACTAATCAGCAACTCACAAGAGTGAACAGATTTATTTGTATACACAAAGCAAGCAGTTAGGGAAAATGAAGGCTTCGTTCCATATGCATTAGCATATTTGCTGTAAGACAGAACGCCGACACAATTTTACAGTTCGCTCTTTCCTTAAGGGACCTCTGATTAGGTCTGCAACTCTAGCTTGCCACAGGTACAGGTCAAAAGTGCAACATAAAATGTTAGTGACTGAGGTGATGAAAGGCGTAAGCCCTAGATTTGGGAAGTAGAGTTACAAGTTTGGCAGTTCAAAGTCATCTTCAGCTACATAGGGAGTTCAAAGCCAGCTTGGGCTTTCAGGTTAGTACATCCTGCCTCAACAAAACAGAATGAAATTCAGCCCAACAAACAAATTAGCTTGCTTAATTCACCCGGATTATTCCAGCAAAAGCAGGTGCTGGGCCCAATCCAAACCATCTGCGTAAGTAAACTGACTGGTTATCTCTCCACAGATGAGAACACACACCCCCACACACAGCCACCCAGATGGACGGACACACACAGGCACACACACATTCACACATTCAGATGGACAGAACTGAAAACCAAAGTCTTTGGTCTCTTTCTCTAGCGATTAGACTCTAGTAGGTGATAAGGGAAAACAGAATTCTAACAAACTCAAAGTTCTCAAAGTGTTCTAAAGGTCAAGGTTCCGAAGGGAAACAAAACCCCCTACACAGAAGGCTGCCAACATCATTTTGTTACGACCTAATGACGTCGTGGGCTCCGGACACGGAGATCTGAAGGTTGCTGCGCAGGTGGCCCTAGTGGCCTGGGCCCTGGCAAAAGCCTCTCCTGGGCGGGGGAACGAGGCGCGCACACCCAAGGCTCCCACCCAGCCTCACTGGCCCTGGAATCCAACTTGTAGCGTCCGGGAGCTGGAAGCTGTGTGGGTGTTCGAAAATCAGACTTGCTTCTGCTTCAGGCAGCGGACATATTTCAATCCACAGGTCTTTCTAACCAGCCACAGAACTCCAGGGAAAGGCTCAGGACCAACCTGAGTCCTCAGCAGAAGGGCCATCCCGGGGGACCTCAACAGGTCACCCGCCCGGCCGCCCCCACGCCCGGAAGAGCCAGAGTCTCGAGGGGCAGGTGGCCCCGGGGCAAGTGGGAAACCCGGCCCAACCTCAGTTCCCCTGCGCCCGCCGCGGAGTCTCCGCCGGCCGTGGAGACGCAGGCCGGCGGACTTACCCTGAGGGTCTGCCCCGCGCGCCGCGGTCCCTAGCAGCGCCAGCACCTGCAGCGCGCCCAGCAGCAGCAGCAGCAGCAGCAGCGCGCCCCGCGCGCACAGCGCCATTGTTCCCAGGGCCCCTGAGCGCCCGCAGCCACCGCACCGCGCCCAGAGCTGCCCTCCGCGCACGCGACCGTTCCGTCCCCTTCCGCCGCGTCCCGCTCCCCAGGAGCCGCCGCCGCCGCCGCCGCCGCCGGTCCCCCCACTGACCAGATAGGGCGAGGGCCCGGCCGGGCTGGGCGGGGCCGGGGCGTGGTCCGCAAAGTCAGGAGGGGCGTGGCCCAAGGAGGCGGGGCCCGGAAAGCGGCCGAATCGGAGGGGGCGTGGCTCCGAGAAGGGAGCGCCTGGGAGAGGGCGTGGCCAAGGGAGGCGGAGAGGGGTGTGGCCTAGGCTGGGAGGGGCGTGGCTCTTCCAACTGAATAAGGCCGAGCCGAGAAGGGGCGGGGTGCTTGGGGCGGGCGAGGGCGTGGCTTCCTCCGCCACGGGCTGGCGGTTCGCTTTGCCCACGTCCGGAAGGCAGGATTGTAGAGAAGTTTTCGGGTGCGGATTGGGGGGCGTGAGGCGAGTAGCGAGAAAGGTAGTCGCGGTCTGGATGGTTGCAGAGGGAGCCCCTCACAGGAGTGTAGGAAGGTCAGATTCTACGTAAGAGCCGACAAACTCAAGTTCAAAAGTAAGCATCACGATTTTCATACTGCACTTGCGCCTCCTTTTTTCCAAATGTGGTGCAGCTCGTTGGAAACTTTGCACCTATAACCTAGGCCCCTCTCTGCATGGAGTCCGCTGGCCTAGCTCAGGACAGCCTGTTGTAATGTGGTTTTTCTGGCAAAAACCCCTCTTAAGCTCTTGGAGCCAGTGCTGCCGAAGACTGTATGTTGATTCCACTCAGAACTCTAATGTCAGCCAGGTCGTTACAGCTCTCTCAGGCCTGACCCAGGGCACTTTGAAGATAAGCTAAAAACTTGGTGGCCTTCAGCAAAGCTTATCGGTCATAGACCATGGATTAACTGGTCGATTCTGCTTTACACTTAAACAAGACTAAACATCGGATGGTGCAATCAGCCAACCTGAAAATACCGGCATCTACCATAGGCTTTAAAAAGGCAGTTGTGTGTTTAGGATTTGGTGGTTCTGGCCATGGGAATAATAAGTGCTTCCAGACATGGACTAGGAAGGAGTGTTCTATTGCATGATGTTGAAATCCAGGGTCCAGGGTGGTGGTAAAATGGGTGGGGCATTGGAGGAGGTGGCTAGGTCAGGAGAGCAGAGCTCTCAACTATGAAATTAGTGCCTCATGAAAGTGGCCTAAGGGAATTTCCACCCTCCCATCCCTCCACCCCTCCCCCCCATCTTTGTCCTCACAACCACGAGGAAACAGTAAAAAACAGTCTCTGAGACCATGGGCCCTGAACAGACACCAGATTAGTTGCTGGTGTTTCCTTGGACTTTCCAGCCAAAGTTTTGTTACTTTGTAATCAGTCTAAGGTGCTTAGCAGCAGCAAGAATGGATAGATACAATATGAAGACAAGCTGTCTACTTGACAATTCTTCCCAGGACTGACCTTGACGGAGGCTCCCCCAGAATGCCTGCTGGCCTGATCCTCATACCATGATATGGATGATGTGCTTCATTTTCAGGCACCACACAACGTCTTCCAGCTCACGACAATTCTCCTGCCTCAGTCCCCCAAGTTATAGGCTTGCATCACCGTGCTAGGCGCCTGCTTTGTTTGGTGATAGCTCTCTGACCAAATCAGTAAATGTTCTCTAGACACAGGGCATCTACAGCTCTGTCTTTGCTCATCTTCATATAATAGAAATGTGAAGACTGCCAGGGTTGTAGCCTGGCAACCCTGGCCTCACCCCTTGGGAGCCTGGCACAGAGTCACCCATTTGCACGTGGAGTACGCACCCTGGCCCTTTAAGGGGAAAACAACACCCCTTTTCTCTGTCCTCTGAGGAGGCAGCTCTGTCTCTCAGTCTTGTTTTTCTCTCTAACTTCCCTTCCCCTATTCCCTTGCCTTCCCCCAATAAACCTTCCACACAAGTCACGTCTGCAGATCTCTGTCCATATCCTACCTGCTGTCTGTCCCTCACCGGCTGCAGGGCATGCCATGGCCCCATCTCCAGCCATACTTCCCTTGAGCCATATTATAACAGTCAGACTCAAATGGAGTCACGCTAACCCTGCCAAAAATAATAAATAAATAAATAAACAAATCTGAGAGGTTACAAAGGGAAAGTACCCATACTAAGGAATTACTTGATAGAAACCATCACAAAAGATTTCCAGGATCACAAGCTTACGCAGAAGCCACCAACATCTTATCCAAAGTGCTTTCTACAGCATGTCTGTCCACTCCAGACTGACACCACTTACTCCTACTGTGGTGGCCGAGGAGTACTGGTGCCATCTACCTCTATGTCTTTGCACAGTCCCTGTAGCTGGAGGAGCAGCACATGCCTGATATCTCAGCGCTTAGAGACAGAGGCAGGAGGATTGTTGCAAGTTCAAGGCCAATCTGAGCTTTATAGTGAGTTCCAGGCTGGGCTGAGCTGGATATATAGAGAGACCCGGTCTCAACCAAACCAGCCAAGTGTGGAGGACAGTCCTGTAATCCTGTCACTGGGAAGTGAGTGGGAACTGGACTACATCAGATTCCAACCTAATAAACCAATTAAACAAACAAAAAACTTCAAAATGAACAAAATAAATCATAAAACGTCTTGTAACTTCTATACCTTTTCTTCATTTGCTATGACACACATTCCCATTGCAAAGCCATTGTCAGCATTATTCTTTGGGAACTCGGAGACTTCTTTCCAAGTACCAGCTGACTAAGCTCCTCCCCCTCACAGCCGGCCACTTTTGCTGTGCATCTTTTGCTTCATGAGATGGCTTGCAAACTACTTAATGTTTGGCATATGATGGATATAACATATGGTGTTTAGTGGCAAGATAAATAAATACTGATGGACCCCAATGAGGGGGTTAAAAATGAGTTGGGGTTGGGAAGATGGCTCAGTCAGTGACGTGTCTACTGTGCAAGCATGAGGATCCAAATTCAATGCTCAACATTCATGGAAAAACTGGGCATAGCGACAGATGCCTATAACTCTCCCCACAGCTTACTGGCTGGACAACCAGTATGTTTCAGTTCAGGGGGGCACTGTCTCAAAATAGGTAAGTAACTAGACAGTAGAGATGGACAGAGGAAGATACTGAACATCTGGGCTCCACACATGTGCACACACATTTGCACATGTACACTGTATGTACATACAAAGTGACTTAGTTTCTATTTATAAAGAAGGTGGAAAGGGAACCTAGTAAATTTATTTCCTTCACACATACATTATGATTTGCTTTATAACCATAAAAGTCTAGTGTTCTAATCAGTAAATGTAGAAATGTAGGCTATTGTGATATATTGTTTATGATCTAATAAAGCCACTGGGGAACCAAAATACAAAGCTAGCCACAGCCATAGAAGCCGGGCAGTGGTGGCACACACCTTTAATCCCAGGACTCAGAAGACAGGCAGTTAGATCTCTGTGAGTTCAAGACCACCTAGGGCTACACAAGAGTAAATCAATCTAAAAGGATAACAGAGCTCACACCTTTAATCCCGGCACCAGGGAGGTATAAAAGGAGAAAGCAAAGGGATATCCAGCCTAGAGAGAGAGAGAGAGAGAGAGGGAGAGAGAGAGAGAGAGAGAGAGAGGAGCAGGTGCTATCTCACAGCTATGAGCAAATAGCACTTTTTGATAAACTAGTATTTGCATGATGAAAGAATCAGATGGCCTGGCTGTGAGACTGTGATGGCTAGTAATTAGGAAAAGCTGTGGAAAGATGTAACAAAAGATTGTAGATCTTGCCAAGTGCCTGGCAGCTTCCAGTTTAGCAGACTGACTGACGGCTTTGATAAACTATTAGTCAGCCTTACAAAGAAAGCTCACCCGCCCATTCCTTCCCTCTGCATTCTAAAATTCCAGTTTTCGTTACACCTTCTCCTCTCATCTTTTAGTTCAGTCTTCCTCAGAGTAAAAATGGCAGCCAATGTGCATATAGTTAATTAAGCAAAAAAACTGCATATCATTTGTGTTTGACATTGTATAAGATTTTAGAGAGAAGGAATAAAAGGGAAGTAAAAATAAGCTAAAAACAAAACAAAAAAAATCCCCCCAAAAAAAAAAAAAAAAAAAAGCCTACTCAGTTGGACTTTCCACTTTCCACCTCTAATACAGAGGTCAGGAAGAATTCTGGGAGCCGCACATTGTGGTGCTGACTGCAAATCCAGGCCATAAAGGCAGTTGCAAGAAGACAGATGCAAGTTTGAGGCCAGTTGGATCACACAGCAAGTCCCAGGCCATCCAGGGATACTTGGCAAGACCCTGTTTCAAAAACACAAAAATAGACAAATAAAAAGTTCCAAGTGGACTGAAGTTCTAAAGGAATGGCCTCTTAAAGAGGGAGGAACTATGGATCTCTGCTCATGGGTAGTGTTACAGGACTCGTAGATCCACTAATCCACCACTTAAAAGAAGCTAGAAAGCAAATGGGTAAAGGAAAATGTGAGGGCTCTCAAGAGGCTCGACCGTTAGGGACTTCTGTGCAATCATGAAGACTGGAGTTGGGATCCTGGACTGCACCGACAGGCGCACGCACGCATGCGCACACACGCACACACACACACACACACACACACACGAGAGAGAGAGAGAGAGAGAGAGAGAGAGAGAGAGAGAGAGAGAGAGAGAGAGGATTAAAAATGAGGATGGATTTATTTACACTTTGGCCAAGTCACAGCAAAGGAGAGTCCTGGTGTCCATCTGCTTTCTCTGTAGCACTATTAGAACTTTCTAGAAAAGATGAAATAAAAGCCAGGAAAAAGACATATGCTCCCTTGAGTAATCAGAACTGTGTGAAATCTCTTTGGGGGAGGCAAGCTCCTCCTTTGCTGTCACCAAGGCTCCCCTCTTTCCCTTGCTCCAGCATGGCCCTCTGGAGGATGTTTCCATTCTCTGGAGCCCATACTTTCAGCCTGACAGACAACTGCATGATTCAAGTGTCCCTGAAAAGGCAGCTGCAGTGTTCACCTAGTGTGGTCCCCATTCCTGTGGCTGTGAATGTGGCTCCTCACTTCTGCTCATGGTCTCAGGTTACACTCTACACTGGCAGAGGAAGTCACAGAAGCAGGAATGTGACATGCCTGGTCACATTGCATCTGTAGAACAAGAGGAGAGAGACAAATGTAGTGAATTCTTGTAGTCCGTTCACATTCTCCATGTGATATGATTATACAATCCAGGATCCCTGCCCAGGGAATTGTCTTCCCGGGACTGGAGAGATTGTTCAATGGTTAAGGGCACTGACTGCTCCTCCAGGGGACATGGGTTCAATCCCCAGCACCCACATATCATTGCACAACTGTCTGTCCCAGGGGATCTGGTGCCTCAGGGAGCGTCAGGCATACATGCAGACAAAGCACGCATAAAATAAATGTTGAAAATGTTACAGGTCTTCTCACCACCATTTATAATCTGCCACAGGCATGCCCATAGATCCATGTTCTAGGTGAGTTTAGATTGTCACCTTGTCATGGACATTAGCCATTGGATTTGGTCTCTGGCACTGGAACAGAAAAATGTGGTGAATCTGTGAATGCGGAGAATTTACTGCCTGGAAGATTACTCTGGGGCGTTTTCAGGGTGTGTCCCAGTCAGAATGAAGTTGTCTTAGGAGAGGAAGAGACTTCCAAGGTTTGGGTGGTTGGTGGGAAAAGCCCCTGGGACTTTCTGCTGTTAAGCCCCTGGCTATTCCTGCCCGCTTTCTTGTTTGCAGGAGGCAAAAGGGACCAGCCCAGTTTTCTATCTAACTATCTAGTCTGTCCTTAGAGATTCTTGTTTCTTCAACTCCATGTGTGGAGTTAACTAAAGGTCCTTGCATTATTCTGTCAGTGAGGAATGCAGAGGTAGCTTCATGTTGCCAGTACCCTCCACTCCCCCGTGGCCTGCACCGCCTCATCTTAGACCAAACCAGGACTTAGCCAGTGAGATATAAGATGCTGGAGATCTTATGGAGGTTCAGAGGAGGAGAGGCACGTAGGAAAAGAGCAAGATGTGCGCAGGCTCCTCAAGGGACAGTCACAATGAGTTGTTTCGGCACTATCCATTTTAGTGGCTCCCAAATTGCATCGCCAAAGGTTGCTATGAAACCCTTTCCCCATGTTTTCTCTTTTAAAATACTTTATTAGCTGGGAGGCAGTGTTGCATGCCTTTAATCCCAGCACTCGGGAGGCAGAGACAGGATCTCTGTGAGTTCGAGGCCAGCCTGCTGTACAAAGTGAGTTCCAGGACAGCCAAGGCCACACAGAGAAACCCTGACTTGTGTAAGGAGTAAGGTTTTTCTGCCTGCCGCCGAGTCTTGTCCTGCCGCCGCGCCAGCCCCAAATAACACACAGAGACTCTGTATTTGATATAATTCTGTTGGCCAGTTACTAGTTTCTTATCAGCTAGCTCTGTGTTAATTATTAACCCATTTCTATGTATTTCCGTGTGGTCTTACCAGTGAGTGGCGGCTGGTGGTTCTAGTCTCTCCAGACTCTCCATGTTGACTCCTCCTTCCTACTTCCTCTTTCCTCCTCGTCTCCTAGTCCCGCCTATCTGGCTTTCCTATTGGCCAACAGTGCTTTATTCATTAACCAGTATGAGAAACATATTTACAGAATGACATCTCCCATCAGACTTGTGCTTCGTTTAGTTATGTGTGTGTGGTGTATGTGGACACAAACATGCCACAGTTCAAGCGCGGAGGTCAGAGATAGAGAGCGTGAGGGAGTCATTTCTTTCCTTCCACCGTGTAGGTCCAGGGGAGCCATCAGGTTTGTGGCAAATGTCCTTTTACACCTCTTTTGATAAGTGAGCTAAGTGAGTGGCTCCAGAGGTGCCTTGGGTAGCCGTACGAGCCAACAAAGTGAAGCCGGGTCCACCGGTGTTACATAAAGGCCCGGACAGCGTCCTTTCTCACCGTGGAGCGTTGGGTTCCTAGCAGAGAACTTGGACACAGGTTTAATCCAACAGAAAGCATAACTGGTCAGCAACTACACTTTGTGTTTGGGACC